TATATATATGTATTTTTACTTATAATTTTAGGAAAAGTCTGGAAAAATAAATGTAACAATAGCCAAGTGACAATCCCTGGGTATGTTGTTATGGATGATTTTATTCTTCATTGGATGTTTTATAGATTTCTTTTTCCTTACTTAAAAATTCTTCCTCTGGGAATTCAAGTATGAAGCTCATGTGTTAGTTCCATTGCTGAATTTCTGCTCATCTTTGTGGAAGCTAAGGTTTCTTATGGCTCCCAGAACATCCTCTAGTTCCCTCACTGTTCCCATGGCTCAGTTCCATGCACCAGCAAGACACTTCACATGCCCAGTCTGTGCCTGTGACCCACATCTTCTGCCCTAGTCTTCCCCATTGAGTTTTCCAGCTCTCCTTCTTCACCTCTTCACTTCCTCACACCCCTAAGATGTCCTGCTGCTGCCTTTTTAACCTCAGAGGAAGCCCCAGTCTGACTTCGGGTCTTGAATTTCCTTAATGTGTAGATGTGGCTTCAACCCAAACAAGGACGCTTGGTCCAACTCATTGCTTCCCTCCACATCACTGTATCCCAGGACTTGTCCAGTGAGTCAGAATGCTAAAATTATTAGGAAAGAGAAAGCTATCCACTAAGAGAGAAGAGAAGCTGGAGATTTTCATGGCCCCAGGACAAAAAATTGAATGGTAAGCTTAGCAAAACAGAGTTAATTGCTTCTGAAGCTGTTCACCATCTGATGCTGTGCAACAAACGGAGTCAACCTGAACACAGGTATTGGATGCAAAGGTATTGTGCTAGATTTGCTGCTTTGCAGCAGGTCTCCTCAGCAACCATATCAAACCCCAGCAAGAGGTCTGGTGCCAAGAATACTTACAAGAACAGAGACACTTGCACCTCCTGCTGACTCTCCAAAGATGGTCACAGAGCCTGGGTTTCCTCCAAAGTTGGCGATGTTGTCCTGGACCCAGCGTAGTGCAGCCACCTGGTCCAAATGACCCCAGTTCCCAGGGCTGTGTTCATCTCCTGTGCTGCAAGAAAACAGGGTGTAATAGGGGTAGAGATGCCATGACAGGGTTCTCGAGAGCTCAGGTGGCCTGGGGAAATTCAGTGAGCTTTTCAGAATCAGGTTGGATGCTACATCTTTGACATGGGGACTTCACTTGCCTGTTACCTCTACAGCATTGCTTTATGTGGGGCTGCACACTCATCTAGCAATTATGTGCTGCGATGAGGATCCATGATACATCCTACATTGCCCTAATAGCTAGCTAAAGAATATCCCATTACAAGACTATGTAATGTATATTACAACAATGCCCAGCTCATGCTGGGAGCTGAATCAAGTAGACTAGAAGAGAGATGTCAGCTGTCAGAAAAAGACAATGTGGTCAATGTGGGGTGTAGGGTGGTGTTTCAACTGGGAAAATCCTATTTGAAGCAGTAACACTATGAAAGAGGAATAAAGGATCACATGGGTGTCGTCAGTAATTACAAAAGGGATTTTAGTTAGGAGAAGCAGCAGATACAAAGGCCCAGGTCATGGGAATAGATGTTTGAATGTAAGAAGTATGAGATGAAAGTAGACCAGAGACTCTATAGGGTCTTTCATATCATTAGAAGTGGGGACCACTGTGCAGAGACATGGTAGGACCCAGTCATTGTCTCACAGAACACTCAGGCCACTGGCTGGAGCAGCTATTGTATTAAAACTACACATTTAGAACAACAAGTGATTATGGAAACTATAAATGTCAGAGAGATAGGGCTATGGTTATGGAAATAGCAAAAGGTAATAATGGTTGCACAGTTTGGTGCTGGGTTCTGGTCTCTACTGTGGCAGTCAGTATGAACAGTGAATGAATCTGAAAAAATGAGGCCAAGTGCAAGGTGATTTTGTCATTGAGTGTGCCAGCCTCAAGAGGGATCTCTGTAGTGCTCATAGGACCTTGTTTAGTTCCCCAGGGCTGTTTTGTTGTAAAAAGTAGCAAGACTGTCTCCCATCACTCACTTCCTCCCTTGTCATGTGATCTCTTCTGCACGAAAAAATCTGATGTCTGCTCTTCTATGTTGCTTCCTAGCCAAGGCATCTCACAAGTGGTCTTCTACCCAATATTGGACTTGGAGTCTTCCACACTGTTTTATATAAATCTGTGTTCTTATAGCTACCCAGTCTCAGACATTTGTTTTATTAATAGAAAGACAACCAAAGTAAACACTAACATGCAGAGGGGAAAATCTAGTGTCTTACCTGAGTAATCCCCAAATACCCAGGCGATATTGAATCGTTACCACCACCACATCTTCATGGGCAGAGAGAGCTAGTCCATCATAGGTCGATGCTCCTCCTATCATTAGTCTACCTCCATGGATCCACACCATCACCTGGACAATAATACAGCCACACAGGCAGTACATTGAAGACTTGGGAAGACTGCCAAGTTCATCTGGATTGGTTGCCTGCATCTAGGCTGTGACTCCAGGTCATCACCCAAACCATACTAGTTCCTGGGAAGGCTGCAAAAGGCTGACTCTCTTGTTTCCAGCTCTCCAAGATGAGGTCCAGGATGCAACACCACTCAATACCCCTTACCTTACTTCTCATTTCTCACATCCTTCGAAGACACAGAATTGAGATTATCATGGTACCCAAAAGGCCCAAGGGTGTTGTCATCAGCCCACAATCACACCATTTCACGACAGGACTTTTTAGGCAACTGAACATGAGCAAGGGACAGCTTTGTATAGTAAGGAATAATACTGTCTTGTGTGGCAGATAAGAAACAGAGGGGAAACTTGTTTTCTGCTGAGAAACTGCAGCCAATGAGGAGGATGGGCTTGATCCTGATGCTATTTTCCAGCATCCAGATGCTGAGCTGCCTAATCCCTGCAGCTCAGGACAACAGTGCAGTGAGCCAGCTGTTGGGTCAGGAGACAGACCCTCCTGCAGGTCTGACTAGCATGTCAGCATGGCTGTGTGTAACCAGGCAGAACTGTGATGCAGCTTGTGAGTCATTGAGCTTTCATATGACAATTCCCATGTGAGGAAACAGGTTGAGGTTAAGAAAAGGTTCTGCTCTCTCAGCTTGTCAAAGGGAGATCCATGATTTATATTCAGACCTTATGGCTCTAGAACCTGTGCCCACAACTAAAGGATCTCCCGTAACCACGATCTCAAGTCCCCATTTCCTCCCACTGGACCCCTGCAACCTCCAAGAGAGATGGAATCATGGATATCTAAGAGTGAAGGCTGAGTCCAAGGGTGGTGGGCAATGATGTCTTGAAGAGATTATGATGTACCTATGTAGAACAGTTGGAATGGTCCTTGAAAACATAGCTGTGTGGGCATGGCTTAAATGTTTCCTTTCTCTGACCCCAAGTTTGACCCTTTAGGAACCTGAACCTCTTGGTCCAGGTGGAGTTGATTAAAACTTCCAAAGGTTTCACTGCCTGGCCTACTAAAGTTCTACCACTCCCTATTTCAACAATCGCTGTTGGCTTCCTGATAAAGGGTTTCGATGGTCCAAGGTTTAGTGGAATTGATAGCAATTACTGACTCCCTGCAGAGTGTCAGGAATAGAGATGCAAGTTCTCCTTGTGCACAAAGCTTTTTCACACAGATCAGCCTCAGGCATCTATAGCTATTTATACTTTACAGAGAAGGAACTGGAGGCAGAGAGAGGGTTGTCATGTGGCCCAAGGGCACAAATCCAGGAAGATCATGTTAGGTAGTGCTTATACTTCCAAGTAGATAGCAACATCCTGGGTCCCTTTGCAATGAGAAGACCAGTTATGGCTGCCTCCTAGAATGCTCGCTCTTTAGATGCTGTAAAGAATGGGTGTCACTGAGACTTTTTCCCTATCTCTCTCTGTGACTGATAGGTACAGTTAACACCATATCTTAGCATATGTATCTACAACTCCCCCAGTCCTGGATTTAATGTAGAGGGCTTCTGGTAATTTGTTGGGTGCTGACCTGTTACAACCCAGGGATTATTATTATTTTTTTTTTCAGAAAACTCTCCTCCAACCTTGTGACTTGTACCTGGCAGCTTGCCTGACTCTTGCACCATGTTTCCATGTGAAATGCTGACTCATTTGGTCCTTAGACTGTGCCAAAGGCAGCTAGACATGGAAACGATCTACAGTCAAATCCCAGGTTGCTGTCTACAGGCAGGGAACATGCTTAGGAGACCGGCCCAGCATCCTCCCTCCCTCCTTCATGGACAGTGCAAATTTTCATCTGGCAATGACAGTTGTCGCAGGTGACCTGAGAATAAAGCCATCACACATCTTCCCCTAGACCCCATCTAAGAGCACACATATGAAAACCAGGAGCCCTGAGTCTTGTGGGCATCCCTTCCATGTACTCTTTTTTCCCCCATCAGGACCTCAGTTTCTCTACCTGCATCATGTTGGGTTCACTTTCCCCTAAGATTCCTACCAGTTGTGACTATTTTGGAAGTTATGACTTGGCTGCCACAGGGATAAGTGTAAGGATTATGTCCTTAATTACATCACCAGCCTGCAACAGAGTCCCAGCCTAAAAAGTGGGTATGATCTCTGTGTTCTCTCTTTCCGCACTCTCTCCTTCTGTATTCTCCCCCCTCCGTCGTGCGGTCTCTGTCTCTGTCTCTCTCTGTCTCTCTGTCTCTCTCTCTCTCTCAATAAAGCTTTAGAAAGGTAACCATGGCTTGTGACTCTTCAGTCACCGATACATCCAGCACTCCTCTCCAGCACTCTCCTCCATCCACATGGCCGCCATGGGCCAACTTAACCAACAATAAGACTCTCCTAAGTAAGATTAGCCATTCTTTTCCTTCTGTCCTGTGAAGACTTGGGAAATTACATGTCAGCTGTGTAGTGATCTCTACCAAAGTCTGACATCACTGGAAAAACACGCAAGTGAAAACTTGAAGGAAGCTCTGGTTCCCGAATCACTTCCTGCCTGTGTGCCCTTGACCCCTGCTGTCTTCATCCTCTTCTAGTCCCAGGGAAGAGCTACATGCTCAGACTGAAACTCTGGACCAATGATCCCAGCCAGCACTTACAGGCAATCGGTTGCTCTTTGTCAAGTCGGCAGGAGTGTAAATATTCAGGTAGAGACAGTCTTCAGAAAACTTGAGAGGAATGCTCTCCTTTCTGTTGGTGAAGAGCTCTGAGAGCACCTGACCTCCAACTGCATCCTGGGAGCACCTGGGAGGGGAGAGAACATCTGAGAGTCTCAGACAGATTGAGCATGTCATCTGGGCCTGACCAAGCACTGAGAGGTTTGAGCCTAGAACAGAAGTTCCTGTTGCTTTACTGGAGTCATTGCTGTGGGAGAGAGGTGGCAGCCACAGTGATCTCTAGGGTCTCTCAGTCCTATGAAGGGAGAAGCACTTGGTACCTCTCTTCTTCCTGGAGGTTTGGGATGCTCTGGACCCATGAGAAAGGTGATTATGTGGTGACCTGCCCTAGGAGATGTCACTTCCTGCAGTGACTGAACAGAGCTTTACCCTTCTGGGCTTCATATGCTGACCCTCCTCCTCTACCAGGTTAACATGCTGTAGTTCTCAGAAAATGTCCATCAACCAAGGCAGTTAGCTACAATGACAGGCAGCTTGTTGAAAGTTGAGATGGGGCAGGCATCTTGTGTGAGAACTGAATTCTAGTCCTATCTCAGACATGATGTGCTGTGTGGCTCATGGGGAATTCCTTTCCTGCTCTTGTCCCAAGCCTCCAGGTCCAGGAAGGGTAAGTAAAGTCTCCAAAGCTCTTGCTGCCTCGCCTGCCAAGTTTCAACATCCTCTTATTCCAACAACCACCATTGGCTTCTTGATAAAGGGTCTTAAAAGCACAATGTAGCATGGGATTGATAGCAGTTACTGAGTCCTCGAAGAGTATGAGGAAGAGATTCAAGTTCTCCTTGTGTTCAAAGCCATTTCGAGTCAGTTCAGCCTCAGGTATCTATTACTATTTCTTTATTGTACCTTTTATTATTATTCCTTTATTAATATTCCTAAATATTATTATTCACAGGTGAGGAATTGGAGGCACAGAGAGGATTGTCAGGTGGCCCAAGGACACAAAGCCAGGAAGATCATGTTAGGTAGTACTTATACTTCCAAGTAGATTAGTTAGCCACATTCTGGGTCCTTTTGCAATGAGAAGGCTGGACATCCCTGTCCCTGGTGTGCAGAGTGAGGCTGTGCATGTCACACAAACTGCAGAAGTAGAACAGCAGAGACTCCTAAATTTCCATCCTGGGTAATTTTTCTCTACATCACTGAGTGTAAGTGCACAATATTCATAAAAAAACATAAATTCAAATGTCAAATGGGGATACAAGAATTTGAGTTCACTAATGTTTAGAAAAAATTCAGTATAGAGAGCAAATTTCCATTTATTATTGTTATCTCAGTTTGTTTACCCAATGCCACAGGAAAAATTCACCAACTAAGCCATGGCATGGGTAAAAGGCCCCAGAGATGGAGGTTTCATGCATCCATGGGAGAATCACACAGAATTTGGTTGTTTCTGGAGACAAATGTACCCAAAGTTCATGTTGTTGACTCAGGATTATTACCTTTGAAAACTTATCCCCAAATATTTATGATTGTGTATAATGATGTAGCTAACAAGAATCCATTAAACTTTTATTTATAGTCAAGAAAACCAAAGTACTTTAATGAACCAGAATAGAAGATAGAGTAAGTAATAACTTAGTACCCAATTAAGCACAGCTAATAAATGCTCAGCTGCTATATATATGGTCTGACATGGTTGTGATACTTATGAATGCGTCAGGCTGTCACCCAAACTCTCTGTATTTATGATCTCTGTTTAAAGCGAGGTATACACACAAAGGACTGGAAAGCATGGTCTCAACTGCTAGCAGCAATTCTGAGTTGTTGAACTATACATGATTTAAACTTTCCTTCACTTTTGTGTATCTCCCAACTTTTTATAATATTTGTGTCTTATTTTTGCAAACATAATATAAACATAGCGAATATTATTTGTAGAAGAAAAGCATGGAATGTTAAGAAGACAAGCAGGATGGGGATCCTGGAAATCCTCAGAGGAACCTTGCTGAGGACACAAATGCTGTCTGAACTGATTTATAGATTTTTGAGGTTCTCTGCGGTGGTGGCTGTGAGGCCGTCTGGAATTCTTGGGCTTCTTCACTCAGTTACAAGGGTGATGTGGTACACATCACCCTTTGGTAATTGCTTAGCTTGTGAGTAGGTAGGTAGGTAGGTAGACCTGGGTGTGAGAACATGCAGTCACCTTCCCTGTTCTCTTCACCCACAAGTCCTACACCCATCCCACTCCCAAGCAATGCCAGAGTTCAAATTAGGAGAACGTAGCATCTTATTTCTAGTCTCCCTCACCTAATCAATTACTGTTTTCCAAGAAATTTAGCATAGTTTAGTATATTATGCACTTGATGTACTAATCCACGGGTTTCTCATTTTCTCTTTCCACCAATAGGATAAAAGGCTTATCAAGGTATGGATTTTTTCCCCTCCTAATGGTTTCTGAAAATCCAGAACATTCCTGGTTCACCACAGGTTCTCAAAAGTATGTGCCAAATAAAGGGCTTGGAAAAAATATGAAAATTACTTAGTAACTAGACCATTTTTGAGGACCCATGGTGTTCTTAGGGGTACCAGTAATTGCTGTTAATGCAGCTAGTCAGAGGATTGCCTTGAATCCATCCTGGATCACCTGAGATAGACATTCCCACTGAAATGGGCCCACCCCAGCGGCTTACATAGGAGGGTAGGAGGTGGCGTTCTTCACGAAGCTCCAGGGCTCTGCAGGCTGTGGAGGAGCAAACCTCAGGGATCCAAGAGGAGGCTTGGCAAAGGGGACTCCCAGGAAGATGGCCACAGGCTGTGTGAATCCTTCTAAGCTTACATACTTCCCCAGGACTTTGCCATGAACAGTGTTCACCACGGGTGGTGAGGACGGGTGTCCTGCTGGACAAGAGAACATGAGGGCACATCAGAAGGGAAAGATCAGGCCTGGATTCATGGTTGGTTTTGTCACTTTTAGGCTTGTGTCTTGAATTGAATCTTCCAAGGTCTCATTTCCTTCTGACATGATACTATGATAAAGAGAAATATCTTTGCCTAAGAGGGCAAACTGAAAGTCAACTGATTGGAGGCATTAAGGTATCCAGTCTAAGCCCCTGCAGAGAAAGGGTTATTGCACTGTTCTGTGATTGTCCTGTAAACATCTTCACCCACTTTGTCCAGAACAGATCTCCAAACACGCAATCCAATGTTTGTAATCCAGAAGAACTTACCCCAAACTGTGCTGAGAGAAGCCCAGACCAAGGCACAGAACCACATTATGAAAGGACAAGAGCTCTGGAGACAGGGAGGAAGTGCCTGCTGCTCAAAGAGAAAGCATTGTTCCCGCCTCTTTGCTGTAGACCCGCCTCTAACCAACTAGCATAATTATATAAATCTCTCCCTCTTCCTCCAAAGAGCTTCCTGGGTGTGTGTTGGGACCTCCAAGCCACACCCACTAAGAGTTTACCCTTCTTCATCTGAAAAACACCAGGGAAGCTCAGATTACAGATAGCCAGAAACTCATCCAACAAGTTCTTATGCAAGCGTTTCTAGCTGTAACTCCTGCTCAGTGCACCTTGAACTTCCCACAGCAGTTACCAGCAAGCAGGTGTCTGCAGGGGGCGAGAAGCTTTGGCTTGGGGTTTTCACTACAAACCTGAAAATTTAGAGCACGTCACGTCCCCAGAGTTCCTCAGCTGGGGATTTAGCACAATCCCTGCTTCTTTGGACTGCTATTTCCTAGAAGACGTGCTCTCAAGTTTGGAAGGTATCTAAGCTCATTCTTAAGGAAGAGCTGTTTGCAGAGAGATAGGAGTCCATGATGGCAGAGCAGGAGCATGGTAACAAGAGTAAGCAGGATGGTTGGAAGGGCTGAGAGCTCATATACTAGAGTGCAAAGCTTGAAGCAGAGAAATGATGAGCGTCTATAAGCTCTGAAAGCCTCTCTCTAGTGACACGTTTCCTCTAACAAGGCTACGTCTTCTAACTATCTCCAAACAGCATCACCCACTGGGGTTCAATGTTCAAATACCTGAGACTATGGGGGACATTTCTCTTGCAAACCACTACAATGTTCTTACAGTAAATGAACCTCATCAACCACAGTCTTTTGCTCTAATCATCCATCCATGCATTTATTTACGAATTTCTTCTTTCTTTGAGATTTTATTTTTATTTTTTGTGTAAGAGTCTTCACTTGCATGTGTGTCTATGCACCATGTACATGTAATGTCCACAAAGGCCAGAAGAGGGCATCAGGACACCAGGGAATGGAGTTAAAGCTTGTGAATCAACATGTGAACCCTGAACCTTGAACAAGGGTCCTCTGGAAAAGTACCCATTACTCCTAAAGGCTGAGCCAACTCTCTAGCCATCATCTATGAATTCTTTAAAAGTTCCAAAATGCTTGTCATTTGCGCCCACAGAAATGTACCCAAGTAGCAGAGGAGGGCGGGGAGAGGGAAAGAGGGAGAGAGGAAGAGGTAAAGTATACAGTGTAAGTTCTGATTTAATAACATGGCCTTGTTTCTGTCTCTCATCCGCAGGGGCCCAGGAGCCTTGGAGAGAAGCATGTGTCTTTACTATAGTGCTGCTCTCTGATGGATGCTTGCAAAGTTTGTGGTGAAGAGTGGTGTGATTATAAAGCTTTGCTTTGACTCTGTTTGACAAATTGTCAAATATTTCTTTGGGGGAATGGAAAGGGTAGTCTTGGTTGAAGGGTAATGGTATCTGCAGTGGAGACAGGAGTGGTAAAGAAAATAAGACTTAAAAAAGAAGAATTAAACTGCATGGGGGTGGAGAGATTGGTTCAGTGGTTAAGAGCCAGAGTCTTGCTTCTATTGCATAGGACCTATGTTCTACTCCCAGCATCCATGTTAGGCAACCCACAACTACATGTTCCACAGCTCCAGGGAATCTGACACCCTCTTTTAGCCTCCAAGGGTACTTGCATACATACACGCGCACACACACACACACACACACACACACACACACACACACACACCAAAATCTTTAAAAACTCAAGTTGTTTATTTTACAAGAAGAACATCACAGCACATGACAGCAAAGCAGAGGTGACCACAAAAGAGGACATTTGCATACCGGCATGTCTGAATGATGTGACTCTCCAGGAGAGTGGGTGAAACAAATGGTGACCCAGATCCTCCGTCCATCTCTCACCATGACACATCAGTAGTTCAGATGGTTATGCACAAAACTATCCTCACACGAGTTAGGGAAACCCAAGGAGGCAGGCAGAGTGCTTGCTTTTAGTATACGAAAACACACAGAAGAAGGCAGATAGGGGATATGCAACCAAACCCAAGCACCCCACCGTCCAGAGGGGCACCCTCCACCCAGGAAGAGAGAGACATCTAAATTCAGCTCTTAAACTCGAA